GGGCTGGCTGAGAAGTGAACGACCTCAGCAGGATCGGTGCTCGGTGACGGGGAGAGCCCGATTTGGGCGCCCTTGTGGCCTTTGGGCGCCGTGGGTGGGGGTGGGGGGGGGGCGCGAAGTAGCGTCGGCTGCCCCCGGCCCGTCGTCGCGGCGAGCAGTGGCCCCATCGCCCCTCGCCGTGGGGTGTCTTCCGCACGGGCAGCTGCCTGGGCGTGAGGCCTGTGCCTCGGGCTGGCTTCTTGCGAGGGTTCGTGGTCTGGAGACGCGGCAGCCCGGGGGTGGCAGGGCGGGCCAGTGGGGCTGCGCGGGGAAAGGGCAGGGGAAGGGCCCACACCTCCGTTCCAGTCTGGATCAGGTGAGGGGGGCCGGCGATGTTGGAACTCGGCCGGGGGTATGTCGGCGTCGCGGGGAAAGCCTTCGGCGCGGTCCTGAATCTCACCCTTGTCGATCTTACTGCAAGAGGCGATGTGGAACTGCTTGCACATACTCCTGGATGTCTCGCATGGGGATCTCCGCGGCGAGATGTAGCAGGATGCCGGGCGCGAGTTTGTCCGGGCTAACCTGCGCCAGGAACTCGGCTGACGTCTCAACGGCGCGCCGTGGGGGGGAAAGGCCGCGCGGGGGCCACTTGTCGGAGTGGAGGAGCCACCCGTCAATTTCGCTGGCGTCCGGGGATAGCGCGCAGAGTCTGGCGACCGCCCATGCGGCGGATAACCGCTTATACCTTGCCAGTGGATGTTCTTGGGAAGGTGAGTTGATGGGGCCCGTGTACCATAGATTAGCTTCAGGAAGGATCGTAGCTGGGCCGGTGACCAGCTCCCCGGGTCATCCGGGTGCACCACGTCTTGTCCATCTGTGGTTGCGAAGCCCCGCCGATGGTCGTTGAGGAGCGGATGCAGGTCACGCATGAATTCAAGTATACGGACCTCGATGGGTCTTGTGTCAGATTGGTCGGCGTCGTCGTCCTCCTCGGCCTCCAGCGAGCTGGGGTTGGCGACCTTCAACCCTGGCCCGCGCGGCCGGCCGAGAACCTCTATTCCTTTGTCCGTCATTGACGGGGAGGTGAGCGCGTCTGGGGTGCCTCCCTTGGAGACGCCATCACTCCGGCTGGGCGGGGCTGAGGGGGCGGTGAGGGCCCGGTCGGGCGCGACCTCGCGGGTGAGGGTGCACTCGTCGGGGGCGGGCGGCGCGCGCCGAGGCTCGGGGGTGGGTGGGGGGGGTCGGGAGGATAGACAAGGCGCGAACACTGGTCGAGGAGCCGACCAACAGAGCCGGGGCTGGCGTCCCAGGCGAACACGAGACATGAGCGGCACGTAAAGTTGGCGTTGCAGTGGCGGCCGGTCCAGGCGGTTGACCGATCGGCCCGCGCTGGGAGGCGCCCCGCGCCGGTTGCACTGCTGAACTCAGCGTTCGCTTTCCATGCAGACCAGCCGAGAGCGGGTGTGCCGGCCTCCCATGCCGAGGGGGGTGAGTTGGGTGGACAACTGTCGGTCGTCGCCGTATAGCGCTTGGTTATGTACGCTGAGAGACCAAACCTGTCGCCGTCGATGCGAATGGGTGGAATGGATGCGTTGGCCTGTTTGGGGGCGTGGAGGCCCCGGGGGGCCAGTGGGAAGTCGCCCAGGTCCGCCTGGCAGGTCTTGGTAGGTGCGGGGGCCGCAAGCCGAGGGGGGGCGGGGCGGGGGTGGTGCACCGCCGGGGGCCGGGTAGGGTTATTGGCCCGGGACGCCGCGAGAACGGCGTCGGCGAGTGAGCAGTCAGCGGGTGCGACGCGGCCGTCAGCTTCAGTCGCTGAGACCCAGCAGGGGCCGCATAGCCATGTGCAGGCCAAGCCGTTCGCGTGGGCCTGCAGCCGGTTGGGTGCGAGGTATAATCGGAAGTTGTCGTCCTACCAGGTGCCGTCTTGGCACGGGCATTGGGGCTTGCGGCAGTGGTCGCACTGGGACCTGGCTTCCTTCCGACTGGCACTGAAGGCATCGCCCAGAGCAATGACTGGGGGGACCTTGGAGACAGAGGGGAGCAGTGCAAGTTGCAGGGCGCTATCCAGGGGGGGGGGCGGCCAAAGGAGAAACCGCCGCCGAGGAAGGTGCACAGGGGCAGTCGTCTGGTCCAGGGGCGCACTCCTTGCCTGTGAGGGCATGCTGTAGAGAGCAGATGCTGCACGCCGCATGTGAGAAGGTGCTGAGGTTGGCCGGCCTCGCGATCCTCTCGGGAACTAGCATGGGGGCCTTGAGCTTGAAGTCGAAGGATTCCAGGCCGGCGTTGATGGCTGGGCAGCCTGCCTCCTTTGCTGCATGGTGGATGTGGGCGGCGGAGACCAACTTGGCTGCCGCGCCGATCAATGCCTCGGGCTTTCCGTGAAGGCCCCAGCGGTCGGAGAGCTGTAGCCTCCAGGAGGCGGCCATCTGCAAACGGAAGTGGTGGTGCCTTTCCTGCCACGGGCAGCAGATCCCCAGGGTGGCTTCGAGGATGTCCCCCGAGCCAGAAGAGGGTCCCGGAAGCCAGGTGCTCGTGGGCACTTTGTGAAGTCCAGGTCGAGGCCGCTCGCATGTCTGTGTCGTTCGGCGGTGTAGTTGGAATCACTGGGGTTGGGCGCCGACCGACCACGCGCAGAGGTTTGGGCGGGGGCTGTCGGGGAGCGGCTCCTTTGGGGGGTCGGCGCGGGGGCAGGGGTGCCCGAGGTGTCGGGGCGGCGGTGCCCGGCGGCGGCGGGCGGAGAGGAACGCCGCGGAACCAACGCAAGCAGGGGCGGCCGTGGGTCGGAAGGGGGGCCTGTGCGCTTGTCGTCTTTCATGGCCGCAAGTAAGGCGCGGGGAGGAAGGGGCCAGCCATCCTTGCGGATTCCCTTCTGTAATCTGTAGGGGGCGATAACCTTGACTGTGAGGCCGTTGTGCGTCTCTGGAATGAGGGCCCGGACGAGATCCACAGGCAAGGCAGCCTCAGGAGTGTTGGCATACCCCTCGGACGGTGCGACATGAGCTCGTAGGACCTGTTGTCCATCAGAAGTGTTCGGTGGGAGTCGTTCGGATCGGTGGGGGGGGGGTCGGGTGCAAGCCATGGCAATCCCTCATAAGATCCTTCACGTTGCAGCCCAGGTGGGAAGCGAGGAGGGCGGCTTGCCCGATGTCGAGGTCACGTACCGGGGGCCAAGGGAGGCCCGGAGCCAGAGGGCGCTCTGCGAGTGGGGCGGTAAGGGCGCTGACCAGCTGACCGTTGTAGTAGGCAACGGAGGGGAGAAGTAACAAAGAGGGGTGGAGGCGGTAGATGTGGGTCAGGGTGATGCAAGCAGTGCTCGGGTCATCAGGCGCTCTTGGGGATACGTGAAGCGTTAAGAATTACCCACCTCACTATCGAGCGCACTATCGATCTCACGATCGATTCACTGATAGGGCTTTTCTCTGGTGTAACCAAGTAAGCTGAGGAGCTGGTACCTTTTGTGACGCTGCTGATGACCTTGACTTCGGTCACGATGAACTGGTTAACACACGCGCTGACTATGATCGCTGTCTGGGCAACCGCGCTGGCCAAAAGAGTTCTCTTCTAGTGGGAGGGCCTTGGCGCTAGTCTATGGAACAGAAGGGTGTCGAGCAGGGGGCGTCGGATTTGAGCACGTAAGAAACGTGTGCGGAGAAGGGGGGGTCCAACATGCGTCTCGGCACGCGTGCGTTTGGCACGTGTGTTCGGCGCCAGAGGGACCACAGGTGGGATATGGTCGTTGAACTTTTCGCACGTGCAAACACGTGCGCGAATGGGGGGCATCCAACATGCGTCTCGGCACGCATGCATTCAACACATGCTATCATGCGGTTTCGGCGCCAAAGGGGCCACAACTGGGATGCCTAACATGTCGTCATCAGATTCTTCGCGCGTCAACAGATGTGTGCGGAGGGGAGGGGGGTATTCAATATGTGTCTCGGCACGCGCGCATTTACAAACATTGGCACGTGTGCTTTCACGTGTCCAGGCCCCCGTCGGGATACCGAACATGCGGTCGTCGGGCTCGTCCCTCGCACACATACGCTCTCGGAGAGGGTCTCCAACATGCGTCTGGTGCGTGCGCACGTGGCACGGTCTCCATGAGTTTAGAACCTCAGGGGTGGGATGTCAAACATGTGGTCGAAAGATCCTTCGCGCGTCAAAACATGTGCGCAGAGGGGGGGGTCAAATGTGCGTCTGGCGCGCACGAACATTTTGGGCATTTCGCAAGGGTTTTCACCTGCCCTGGCCCCCCAGGTGGATGTCGATCATGCGGTCCGTTGGAATTCGCGCGCGGAAGGGGGATCTCCAACATGCGTCTAGCGCGTGCGCACGTGGCAAAGGCTTTCACTTGCCCAGGCTCTCAAGGAGACGTCAAACATACCGTGGTCGGATTCGTCACACGTGCAAACACGTGTGCGGAAGGAGAAACCCAACTTGCATCTGGCGCGTGCGCATTTGGTCCAGGTGTTCACGTGTACAGGCGCCCCAACGGGATGTCGAATATGCGGTCGTCGGATTCTTCACACGACGTGCAAATCTATGCGCGGAGGGGGTATCCAACATGCTTCTCGGCACGCGTACGTTTAGCACGTGCCCACGGCACCCGGGGGGCCACAGGTGGGAAGCCTCGTATGAGATGCGCGGTGCGCCCTATACGACGCAATACTGAACACCGCACAGCAAAGCCGAAAAGAGCATTGAATCGCATAGCATAGCGTGCCGACGCGAACGTAGAACAGATGTGTCGGAAAAACGTCTGACTCCAGTTCTTTAGAGGGTCTGTGCGTGGGGTGGGGTAGGGGGCAAGGGGCGTGTCGAAAGAACACCATGAACAGCAGAAGTGAGCCATGGACATCGGGGGCTATGACACCGGAGGCCATATCGCGTTCGAAAGAGAAGGGCGGGCGATGACAGCGGGAGACTTTCGGGCCCCAGCCATGACACATCGACACCCCCGAATTGAGGGCATCTTGGGGGGCGGAGGGGCGCATCTCGTAAACACGCGGCGGAGAAGTCGCGGCCTGGAACAGGCAGTTGTGCAACACCACCCTCGCCGCGGCGGATTGCCCTTGGCCTGGACGCACAGAGATCACGTCGAAGTCGCTCTGCTCCTGGGGTGGCCTCCTCCTCCTCCTCCTCCTCCTCCTCCTCCTCCTCCTCCTCTTCTTTCCCCGGATCCTTCTCCCGATTTCCCCCCCCCAAGTGCCCCCGTCGCCTGCTTCACTGCCGTCGCCCACGTCTATCTAAGAGTGACCCCTGGGGCTGGAGAAGGGCCTCTGCTGCCTGGCCTTCGGGGGCCGCGGGGGGGGGGGGGGGGGCAGACCCGAGCGCGCGGGCCGCGGCTTGGGGCTGGGCCCTGCGGCGGGCCCGCACCAAGGTCGCTTCTCGGGTCGGGCGAAAGGGGGGCATAGCAAAAGGGGGGGTCTGAGAATCAGCTCACGTAGCTGATTCTCCCGGCTGGCCCCAGGAGGCGCCCATGTATCGAGGAATGGGCCCCATCGGTGGGGCCGAAGTCAGCTGCATGCAGCAAATTTCGTAACCCCCCCCTTTCCCAATCCCCCCCCCTTTCGTCCGTCCCGAACTTCGGCCAAGGGCCACTCGCAGGCGTAGCCGGCACCGCTCCCCAGCAGCATCCCAAGAACGACGGCGCCCATCCGGCGGCAGCCAACCCGCGGGGGGGTCCCTCGGAGGCGCCGACAAGGGGCGAGGAACCCAGGGGCAGGCACTGCACGCATCCTCTCCCGAAGCCACGCCGAAGACGTGGACCGCCGGGGCCCCTGGACGTGCTCCCCCCTGGGCTACTCTCGCCCCGTCCGTCGCCTCCGAGCCCCCAGCTGCTCTCGCCTGCGGCTTCCTCGCAGCCCCGCCCCTCGTGGAGGCGCCTCGCGGCCGCCTCCGTGCCCCGGCCGGCCTCTCCGGGCCTTCGCCCGGCCACCGCGCCCGTCCCCGCCCGGCCGCCGCCCGTCGCCGCCCCGCGCGCTGGCTGCCATTGGCGCCCTGGTCGCCGCCCCGGCCTCCCCCCTCCCCAAAGATCGTCCCGGGATGGCCCCACAGGCCCCCCTCCCAGACATCGGGCGTCTCGAAAACATCGAGACGGAGGTTTTTCGTCGTTTTCGGCCTCTCGGGGCCCTCGCTGGGCCTCGGGACCGTCAAAAAACGACTCGGGGTGAAAGGCCCGTCCCGAGGAAGTGGTCGGGAGGTCGGGGGCCCGTGTCTCGAAAAAATCGAGACGTCGGATGTCTGGGCTCCAAGGGGGCCGATGACGGTCCAGGAAGGCCCCCAGACGGCTCAAGAAGAGGGCCAAAAGACGGCCTCAGTCTGTCCCGAAGCGGTCCAAGATTCCCGCCGCACTTCCAGGCGTATGCGCGCCGAGAAACTCGCGCCACACAGCTTGCGCCGCGCAGACTGCACTGCGCCGCGCAGCCTACACCTCGTGTATGTTGCGCCACCTCGTGTGCACCTGCACCGCGTGGCTGGCACCGAATAGCTCGCGCCACATGGCTTGCGCCATAAAGATTCTGCCACGCAGCTCGCACCACACAGCTCACGCCGCGTCAGGGGGGGGGGGCCGCTGACCGACCCCCGAAATATCCGCGAGGCCTTCGCGCAACTTGCGCATGCTTGTGCTGTTTGGGTTTTTTTTTTCTGTGATAAGCGCTTGCTTGTGCCGTTTGGGTTCTTCGATGATAAGCGCAGCCCGCGTTTGCTCCTCTAAGCGAAGCGCAGCCCGTGGAGAGCCACTCTCTCCTGGAGGGCTGCAGGACCCGGATTCGGCCGAGTACGCATTTCCAGTGCGCGCGGCAGTGGCCCCTTCGCCGAGAAGCCACGGCTCCATGGATGGATATACACAAAACAAAAAAACACCCCAAGGAGGAGAGGCCAACGGCGAAAAATATAAGGGTCCCCTATCCAAAACGATGATTCGTAAGGAAGAGGATGATGATGATGAGGAGGAGGAGCAAGGCCAAGAGGAGGAGGAAGAAGAGGAAAAACCCTCGTGGCAGCTGTACCTCACGACCTTCATGGTGGGAGGCTCAGCGAAGTTCGAGAGTGGTGAAACAGCTCGCCATGTTTTTCGCGCGGTGGTGCCGTCCAGCCCGGAGACCTGATTGAAGAAGACGAAGGGCTCGCCATACAGGTTTCAGGATCATGTGATGGCCCCCCTTTTCCAGGATCATGCTGCGGGAAACGGACTCCAGAGCCTCAAGCCCCAGGAGGCCGCAATCGACCCCCTGGAGCGCAAGCAAAGGAAAAACTTCTGGCTGTGACTGGGATGGGTGGGTGGGTGCCCAAAAAGTTCTGAGAATGCACGGCAGCGGAACGAGTGCACGCACAACAATGTGATGGCCCCCCTTTTCCACGATCATGCTGCGGGAAACGGACTCCAGAACCTCAAGCCCCAGGAGGCCGCAATCGACCCCACAACCAGATCCCACAACCAGCACTGTACTGGGCTACCGCATTAGATTCCACCTTCTACTTTGACGCTTGGTTATGTAGGCATTGAAAAGGCCGTCGGCTAAAATGTTGCACAGTTTGTTGGGGTAGTGGTTCTTGAGACGCGTTAAAAACCCATCCGAGGAGCCAGGGCCTGAGAGTTGCATATGAGGGGCCTGGGAAAAATCGCAGATCCCCCGACCTGAACATCGAAGCTTGAACATCTTCGGGGGAGGGCGACAATTGAAGAGCACCAGGCGAGTTCTAGCTCTGAGTGGAGTGCCACACGCACAGTAATCCACAACAACTGGTGTGACACGAGGCTGACGTTCAAAGGCCAGACGTGAGGGCTACTGCCACAGCCAAGAGAGGTGAGGATTCTCTTCGCCGCCAGGCAGGTTGCGGTCGCAAGCCCGCTGAAGGAGGCGGGCGGCACGAGCGGCTAGCAAATTTGAAAGCTGGAGCGCCTGAAGGTCAGCGCCGCTCAGATCACGCAGGCCTGTGGGGTGCGAGGCGTCCCGCAAGGCCCGAGGCATCGCTGAGCCCGGCGGTGCGCGACGTGCGCGGGTCATGCCGTTGCGCGGCGTGCCCGACCAGATGATCGCAACCAGGCCGGCATCGATCCACCCCATGAGGTGGTTGAACACGTCGACTTTGGTGAGGTCCATGTGCGGGCCGTGCTCGATGTCCACGGGGATCACCGCCAGCCCGAAGCGACGGACGTGCGAGGAACGGTTGCCGCCGCCGGAGAACAGCTCGAGGAACACCCTCTGGTGGCCCAGCCTGGCGCCCCTGAGGGACGCGTGAAGGAGCTGACGAAGAGCGTCGGCGCGCGCCCGGCGAGCTCCAGCACCCGCTGGCGCACAGCCTCTGACAACTTCTGAAACTCGAAGCCGATGCGAGCGTGCTTCTCGCACCTCTGAACGGAGCGATCGCAGCGCCAAAACCCGCGGCGCTGCACCTCCTGCAGGGACCGCATCCGAGTCGCCCTGTCGTGCGACGCGCCGCCGTGGCGCATGCAGTGCGGCGTGACTCCCAGCGCCGAGGCACCCGCCGCTGCGGAGGCCGCCTCGATCTCGGCGAGGAGCTGCGGGTAGTCGAGGTCGAAGACCTTCGCGGCAGGATCGCCGCGGTGGCAGCGCATGACCTGGCGCCGCGCCCACTCGAGCCAGCCATGCCGGGGGAGGTCCAGCGCGACCGAAGAGTCCACCTCGTTGGTCTTGGAGGGCTGCTGCAGCTCCGCCACGCTGAAGACGAAGGACAGCCGGGAGCCCACTCCCTCGAGGGACTGAATCCCCTCGATGATCTGGAAGTACCTGAGGTCGACCATCTCGGACGCGCGGAGGTAGCACTCGAACATCGTGACCACCGCCAAGCCGAAGAAGAGCTTCCCGACCGAGACGAGAAGGCCCGCAATGGCGTACGCCACAGGCTGCGGGACAGGCGGCCGGGAGAGTGGTGGCTCCAGTCGCCCCCAACCTCTGACGGCCGCATTCGCGAGCGGCAGCGCCCCCTTCGCGGGCCCGAGGTCGGGCCGACCCCAGCAGAGGCCGTGCAGCGTGCGGAGAGCCGTGTCCCTGCTGCGGCCCTCGTCGTGCTTCTCGATGAAGGCAACCAGCTGCTGGCCCCAGATGGCCGCCTCCCAGATCGGGAGGGGCCTGCCGGCCAGGCCGCCACAGGGGAGGACGAAGTCCCGCAGCTCCTCCAGCGCTCGCAGGTAGTTGTCCTGCGTAGCGGGGCGCACCCGGGCGGCCGCCAGGCGCGACAGGTGAGGTGGCAGTGCCAGCCGACGCCGGTCCAAGTCGACCAGCGGGCCCCGCCCGGAGAAGAAGCCAAGCCCCGGCGGCGCGCCAAGCGCGCGGCAGCGCTCGAGCCGCCGCGCGGCACGCCAGCGGAAGGCCGCCCCCGCGGCCTTGCATGGCGCGCTCTGGCCGGGGCGGAAGGGGCCCGCAGCGCATGCTTCATTGCTGACGAAAGAACGGCTCCAAGGAGGATATTGCCTTGAACATAATGCGTATCAAGTCTATCGTCAGAGAGGCCGTCATGATGTCTGTCATCCGAACCAGCCAGAGGTCACGATGCCAGGAACACCAGATCTCCGACGAGGCTCAAAACGGCGGGAGGGACCATCGGCGGGAATTCGTTCGCTGGGGACCCAGCGGTGACCAAGGGCCAAGTTAGCGGCAATAGCAATCCCACAGACCTCCCGACAGACGTTGTTGAGGCGATAGTCAGATGCACGACCTTTCGAAGCGGCTGATATGAGACTGAGATTGTCGCCCAGCAGCAAGTGTCGTTTGCCGTGGGCTCTGGAAGAACGTGCGAGCCGGCGAGCGCTAACAGCGCGCGCGGCCCCCTCAAGCAAGTGGATCTAGTCCCGGCGAGCGAAGCGCCGCGCCATGGCCACGCGCCACTCTGTCTCCGCCAGGTGCTCGGGCGACACCTCGACGAAGCCAGCGGACTGCGCCTCGGAGAGCGCGTCAAGATCGCTCACCCCCCTGATGTCGGACTCGAGGGGCGTGTCACGCGGGGCCTGGCCAGGCGCAAAGGGGCCGCGGAAGCGAGCGCGTTCCGATAGCCTGCCGTGCGCGCCCGCGACGTCGGCCCCCCACTCGCCCTCCGCGATGCCGAAGCCGGAGGGGCAGGCGTCGCAGCAGACCACCGTGGACGACCAGCGCAGGCGGCAGTCAGCCCGTGCCGCGGGCAGGAGCGCCCGGCACCAGCCCAGCTCGCGCCTGACGGAGGCCCAGAGGGGCACGCGGCGCCCCTTAGCCGCCCGCGCGAACTCGTACACGGCGCGCAGGAGGCACAACATGCAGCGCTTGAGCAAGAGGGCGCTGATGAGGTGGCCGATGAGCCTCTCCATCCCGTGGCCCGTGACGCGCCCATCCTTCTCGAGCACGTAGTCCAGCGCCCCGACGAGCTTCCAAAAGCGCTTCTCGGACAGTAACCAAGAAGAAGATGCCTCGCAGGGCCTGAGCCCGAGGAGGTCGTGGAAGCCGAGGTCACTCACGCCATCCAGCTCGGACACCGCCCCGTGCTCGCTCAAGACCCTCTTCATGTCGCAGACCGCCTGGTGGGGCTCGTCCGACGAGTCGCCGATGAAGGCGTAGTTGTCTATGTGCATGAGCTTGGCCGGCGAGCCGGGCGCAATCGGCGGGGCGGGGGTCCTGTCAGTAATCCAAGGAGCGTCGGGGCGGACGCGTCGAAGCTGGTGAACGTGCGCCGACTGAACAAAGAAGCCGGACCAGGCCCAGCCCATCAGAGCGACACGCGACTGAAAGTGGATCACGTCGCCTGGCGAATGGCGGCCGAGGGCCGCCTGCAACGTGCGAGACAGGAACTTAAACCGGCCTGAGGTGCGATGGCAACTGATACTGGTAGAAGCAGCAATCAACGTCACCAGACTGGCACCGCAGGGGCCCGGCAAGCTGGGACTCAAGACCGGCCAGGCTCTCACCAGACGCCAAAGCAGAGTTCGGAGGCTCGAGGAAGTGCGTGTTCGACCGCCTGGTGTCGAAGATCAGGCGGAACTTACCACATTTCTTGAGCACGAAAAACAATCCACAGGTCTCCTTAACCTGTGGTGCGAACTCGGGGACACCGGCATCCCAGAGCTCCTCGATGAAGGTCGCGCAGGCCCGCCCCGACTGACGAAGCACAGGATCCATAGCAACAGGAGGAAGGGGCACAGGGGCGCCATCCCAGTCAACGTTATGCGATGGCGTCACCATAGCCGCTCCTCGAAGCCTGCAGCGCCGTCCACGCCGCAGTCGGTGAATGCCCAGCAGGAGGAGAGGCCACATAACCATAGATAGAAGCAGGGTGCCGCGCGGCCTGACGCTGAGGTAGACAAAGAGGAGCACGTTCCGAAGCAACGAGGCCGCGGCCCGCCAGAGCGTTGAGGGCAGAGATGCCGTCGCGCAGCCAGGATCCCTGGGCCCGCTGACGGCGAGAGCGCTTGCGTTGAGACGACGAACGCCCAGGGGCTGACCCGCCCGGCAAGCGTGCGTCGAGGGCAGCACCGAGAGGAAGAGGAAGTGCATCACGCTGGGACTCAACTGTCGACAAACTCTCCAAACACCACGATGAAGAGCCTCCCCTTGAAGAAAGCCGGGTCGCCCGGGGGCTGCGACCTGGCAACCGGGTGCAAAAACGCGGAGGCTCACTGGCCCCGACCCCGTCCTCGCCCTGAGCGCTTCGGGGCCGGAGTCGAACCTGACGTACCTCCTTCAGCAGCTGCGTGAGGCGTGGTGCCCGTCGCCGGCTCCTCGCCCCGCGCCAGCCGGCGCTCCTCGCGGCCCTTGCGGCGTTCCTGAGCACCTCGGACTCCTCCTTGAGCTTCTGGGCCGCGTGCAGCTCGAGGGCCGGGCAGGCCAAGGCGTGGCCCTCGGAGCGGGGGCCGCCCAAGAATAGCCTCCGCTCGTCGAGCCAGTCGTGCCCGTCAGGGCCTGTCTCCGCCACGCGCAGGGCCTCCGAGTAGAACTCCTCCCAGAGCTGCAGCCCCCGCGCGATGGTCTCGAAGCCTTCGAGTGAGGCGATGTGGAGGGCGTCGGCTGCGATGGAGATCTCAAGGATCTTGCAGAGGAAGTGGTGCTCGTCCACGCCTGGATCGGCGGCGACAGGTCCGAGGACTTGCCGCCGCCAACAATGGCGTTGAAGAGGAGAGAACTTGTACTCCAAGTGCGCGTCGATCAACCACTTCACCGTGCTCGGGCCCTGCACCTTCCACTTGTCACGAGGGCCCTCGACGAGTAGCGGAGCACGGGCAGCGAAGCCGATCCTGGGCGCGTCCGCGGGGGCCAGCACGCGCGGGCCCAGGCTCTCCGACGGGGGCGTCGCAGTGCCCCGGGGCTGGAGGAGGTCCCTAGACGTGGTCCCGAGAAGGGCAACAGCTACGGATACCCCTTGCAGCTTGACGACGCCACGGTCCCCGAGGCACCAGAACTCATTGCCGAGAACGTCAACGACGTCGCCCAAGCGTGTGATGACGGCACCGGCGTGCATGCGGTCCTCCAGCGACACCCAGATGTCGTGCGGGTCCACGCCCTGCGGGAGCCGACCCGGGGGGGACACCCCAGGCTGGCCGGCCTCGGCCGCGGCCCCGCCGGGCGGGGGCGCACCCGCCCCAGGGGCCGGGACGTCGTCGCCCGCGGCGGCCGCCGCCCGCTCCGCCAGGATGGCCTCGGCCATGCGCTCGCCCTCGGGGAGGAAGCCCGCGGCGTACCCAGGCCCCCGAGCCTCGAAGCGGAAGAGCCGCTGCCCGTAGAGATGGGCAGGCACGCCACCCCGCACTCCGCCCTGGACCACCTCCAACGCCTCCGAGAAATCCTCCTCGTGGATGTCTTCAGTCGGCGTCAGGACCACCCATGACTAAGCATCCAGCTGGGCGAGCAGGATGCGTTCGTGCCAGAGCCCCTCCTCGCGATCGTACAGACTGTAGATCCGTGAGCCCAGGCGGAGACTCCCCTTCCACGCGGGCGGGTCCGGCCTCGCGGCCACGAGCGCCATCTCGAACGAGGAGGCCCAAGCGCCACAGCAGGCTCGCCAGCGCGAGCCCCGAGATCAGCCCCGCGATGAACCCCGCGGAGAGGAAGGGCGTCACCGGCACGCCTGGGCAAGAGCACGTCGCTGGGGCCGCCCGCAGCTGCTCGGGGCCGCAGCGGTCGAGCTGCTTCTCGAGCACCGAGATCAGCTCGTTGTCAATGGAGGATGCGCACTCGCACAGGCAGGTGCAGTGCTCGGCCGAGCTGGTGATGCGCCCCGCAACGAACGCCGCGGCCTGCGAGAGGGCGGGCGAGAGCTGGGCGAGCATCCGAGCACCTTCTGCCCAAAAAGTTCTGAGAATGCACGGCAGCGGAAGGGCGGGAGGCCATGACAAACGAGTGCACGCACAACAATGGATCGGTCCTTCCCCACTCAACTATGCGGCCTGGCGGGCGCATGCTCGATGGCTCCAGGACCTCTATACTCTTCTCGCTGCTCTTAGCCTTACTTTTTCAGCTGCGCCCGCCAGGCGCAAGTAGTTAGCTTTCTGCCTAAGTCCGCGAAGTGGAATCCCACCAGCCCTTTGGGCGTGAGTGGTTTAGAGAGCCCTCTCTGTCCTCAACCCCCCTTCTTCCCCTTTGGGGAGGGGTTTACCCCTCCCCCTGCCCCCTCCCCCTGGACCTGGAGAGGGGGTTTCGCGGGTCGTCAGGGGGGTCATTTTCGACTCCTGGGAGGGCTAAAAAACGACGACCCTCACGAGGATTCTGGCCCCGACGGGGGGGCGGAGTTAGGCCCCTCTCCTGTTCTTTGAAGCCAAAATCATTGATTTTACTACGGTTTTGGCCCCATTTTGGTCTCCTGAGGGGGCCGCGCTCCTCTTCCTTCATAGCAAAATCATTGATTTAACGAAGGTTTTGGGCTCATCTTGTCATTATCAGGGGGCAGCGCTCCTTGGCGCTTCAGAGGAGGTCGCAAGAGGCCCCAAGATGGCCCCAAGAGGCCCCCAGGAGGCTCCCAAGAGGCTTCCAAGAGGCCCCCAAGAGGCCCCCAAGGGGCCCCCAAGAGGCCCCCAGAGGCCCCCAAGAGGCCCCCAAGAGGCCCCCAGAGGCCCCACGAGGCCCCCAAGAGGCCCCCAAGAGGCCCCCAAGAGGCCCCCAAGAGGCCCCAAGAGGCTCCAAGAGGCGCCCAAGAGGCCCCACGAGGAGCCCGAACGACTCACACCACAAGGAAGGGCCCGAACGACTCACACCAGGACGAGGCGCCCGAACGACTCACACCACGAGGAGCCCGAACGACTCGCACCACGACGCGGGCCTCGAACGACTCACACCACGAGGAGCCCGAACGAGTCACACCAGGAGGAGGGGCCCGAACGACTCACACCAGGACGAGGGGCCCGAACAACTCACACCACGAGAAGCCCGAACGACTCACACCAGGACGAAGAGCCCGAACGACTCACACCACGAAGAGCCCGAACGACTCACACCAGGAAGAAGGGCCCGAACGACTCACACCAGGACGAGAAACCCCAAACGACTCAAACCACGAGGAGCGCTTTCTCTCCCTCCTCCTCCGCCTCGTCCTTCTCCCGCTCCCCCCACAAGGAGGATGTACAAGGAGGCGGGAGGAAGGAGGAACAGGGGAGATATGCGGGGCCAAGCGGACACACGCCTGAAAAACACGACTGTCGGCATGCTTCGCGAGAGTTGCTGCTGTGAGATGGGCTGGTGGGGATACGCGAAGCGTAAAGAATTTTGTGACGCAGCGATTTCTGACCCATGTCTGTGCAACGTCAAACAAGCTCGCCCTTCCTCAACCCCTCCATCGTCGGAAGCTCGGCGGAATTTGAGGGTGGTGGAGCACCTCGGCCCGCTTCTCGCGCGGTGGTGCCGCCAAGCTCGGAGACCTGGTGCCCGTGGAGGCGTTGACTCTGCCGACGTCCGTCGCCAGCGCGCACCTGCTGACGCCACGAGAGCGCCCGGCACCAGGCAGAATACCTCATTTTGCTTCAAGCGATCCCCTCTTCCTCCTCGTCCTCCTCCTGCGCCTCCTCCTCCTCATCCCTCCTTCCTCTGTCCCTTTCTTCACGCTACCTCCTCGCCGCGCCGCAGGGGCTGCGGGAGGCCAGGGTGTCGCCAGGAGTCGCGAGCCCATGGGGCGACGTGTCGAGTCAGGGTCAGGGGCGGATGCGGGCGGGAGGAAAAGTGTAGAGCGCGCTATCGAGCACAGAGCGTTTCGGGTCCGGGGGAGAAGGAGGAGGAGGAGGAGGAGGAGGAAAAGGAGGAGAAGGGGATGATGATGATGATGATGATGATGATGATGATGATGATGATGATGATGATGATGATGATGATGATGATGATGATAATGATGATGATGATGATGACTACGACGATGATGATGACGATGACGATGACGATGACGATGATGATGATGATGATGATGATGATGATGATGATGATGATGATGATGATGATGATGATGATGATGATGATGATGATGATGCTGATGTGATGATGATGATGATGATGATGATGATGATGGGAGGAGAGGAGGAGGAGGAGGAGGGGGAGGAAGGGAGGAGGAGGAGGAGGAGGAGGAGGAGGAGGAGGAGGAGGAGTGGAGTGGAGTGGAGTGGAGTGGAGTGGAGTGGAGTGGAGTGGAGTGGATCAAGCCAGAAAGAGACGATCAGGCGACCGCCCCCCCAGCCACCCCTGCGAGTTGGGCGGAGGCGAATTGGCCCCTTCATCGAGGAGGCGAAAAAGAGGCCGTACACGAACAGGTCGTAGAGCACGGCGACAAACACAACCAAAAAACCGCTGGGGCGCCCCACGCGCCCCCAGCCGCCCCCAGGCGCTCTCCAGAAAGGTGGGTGAGGTGGGGTACTGACCCTCCGAAGAGGCGTGCCCCAGGAGCTCTCAGCGCTCGCGCTGGGGGCAGCGGGCCCTCCACGCACTCCGTCACGTCTGCCCGCACGCCTCCGCCTCGAAGCCAGGGAACAAGGCGCCCGCGTCCACGGCCGTCTCGGCTCCGCCGTTTGCATCAGCTCGGACGCCGAGGTGCGCCTGGCGCTCGGGCCAGGTGCGCCTGGCGCTCGGGCCAGGGGCGGGGCAGCCTGTTCGGGCCGCGGGGCCCGCTGAGGACGGCATCCTGCGGCGACTTGTCGATGCTGTCGTCGCTGCGGGCGACGGAGACGGCCTTGAGGGAGCACCACTCCGCGGGGCCGAAGTGGACCCGCCGCGTGGTGGTCTGGCCTCCCTCGCGATCTCCGCCTTGATCGTGTGCGCCACGATCCGTCGCGGCCAGCGCGGCGTGATCCGAGCGGCCTCCGCCTCTACCTCCTTGAGCTGCTCCTCCAAGGCGCGGACCAGCGCCGCCGCGTCGACAGTGCCGACATCGGAGTCGGAGGAATACAGCTCGTGGTGGTCGTGATGCTCGTCGTCGCGGGCTGCCTCGGCGTCCTCGGTCCTGGCTCCCGCGCGCGCCGTCGCACTGCAGCGCGGAACGCCTCGGCGGCAGTCGCCTGCAGGCGGGCGCACGGCACGAACTCCTGGGCACCGCGGCGCATTTGCACGGCACCTCCGTCGAGAGCGAATGGAGGCACGCAGTCCTCGGCTCCCCGCTCGACGCTGACGGCGGCGAGGAGCACGTCCACCTGCTCCACCTGCGGGGCGGCCACGAACGGCTCGACCACGGGGGCCGCTCGCGCGGGCTGCACATCCGCCGCCACCTGGCACGGAAGTGCGCGTAGGCGACGAAGGCCTGCCTCGCAAGCGTCGCGCCTCCGCCTTCGCGCCAAGCGACGCGCAGCGGTCGCACCGTAAGCAGCGATGTCCGCCTCCCGCGAGGTGATGGGCCGCCACGCCATCGGGCAGCCCCCCCAGTTCCGGATTCGCCCCGAATCAGTCACCGCCGTCGCCTGCGCCCATGGCGGCTGGCGCCCGCGGATCCCAAGTCCGCCTCGCGAAGGCTCGGGGCTGGCTCAAGGCGCCGCGGGGCGCGTTGAGCGAAGATGGGACTTGGGAGGAGGAGGGGGAGGAGGAGGAGGAGGAGGAGAAGGAGGAGGAGGAGGAGGAGGAGGAGGAGAGGTAGGAGGAGGAGGAGGAGGAGGAGGAGGAGGAGGAGGAGGAGGAGGAGCGTCACCAGGCGGAGTACCCAGGGAACACCGGCACACTTGGGGCTTGGCGCCCGCGGGAAGTAATCGTCGTTCGTCGAGGGCTCGGGACTGGACACCCAGGAAGCACCAGCACACTTTGGGCCTGTCGTCCACTGTGTGCAGGCTGTGAGAGGCGGGTCGGAAAATCTGTTCTTCAAAGCTAAGCACCCCAACCTGTCGGGCGGGAAAAAAGAAATCCCAACTCCTTGGAGGACCTCCACACCTACTGGCTCTTCCACTGCTGCGTGTGCCCTCCCAGGGCACCCGTTCTCGAACGCCGTGGGGCTCGAGGCAGCCGGAGGCAAGGGAGGAGAGAAGACGAGGGAAAGACTGTGGCTCCCGTCCTCCTTTCCGAAGATCGGCCGCTTCCGCAAGAACACGGAGATCCCCTCGGAGCAGCTCGAGATCTCCGCTGGCTCTCCTCCCCAATCGAAGCGGCGTGCTGGTGCAGACCCTTCCCCGAATCGGATCTAATCGTGGCTAGGCTTCTGGTGGTCGTGCGTGTAGCATCCTGTGTCTGAAGGTGGAGTGCCTTGGATCAGCGGGGCCCACGCCAATCTCAAACCTGCCATGAAAAAGCTGTGGCATGTATATCACGTCTCCCGCTCCTCTTCCTCGTCCCCCTTCCCCATCATCCTTCGCCCCCCCCCACTCCCGCAAGCGGGCAAATCCCAACCGAATTGAAAGAAGTCCAACCGAATGGCACGTACTTCAACCAGGTAAAAAAATCAGCATTGTACCAACTCAGAGCAGACACGTAGCCTTACACAAGGATTCGATGTGTGGGGAATTGGGAGACTATCTCAACGATGCGCGGTATCACTAAGTGTGTAGAATTGATGTGTGAGGAAAAATAATGAGAATGAGTGCCAAGGTTGGGACTGATACCATTTCCGACTGTGTAGTTGCGATTCTGGTTTTCTTAACTTCTGATGCGGTTGGTGACGTGGAAATGTAAGAAGCACGTGCGATTTTTCAAACTATTAATCATCGTACTGTCGGGCACCCAACGGAATTGTGAAGAGGTTGTCTCAAGAAACATAATAATCCGGAGGCCCACAAGAATGGCCTCAAGTCCCGCATGGGTGTGCATGGCTTTCCGCATCAGAAGGACTCTCTCAGTGAGCAAGGGGATGCCAGAAGGCTCGCCTCAGGAATCATGCGAACTCCTCCGCAATCAAGCTAGCACCTAGAGATGACCATGGAATCAGACGGACTTCCATGATATCGCAAGGACTACTTCAGGAGTGCTAAGTTCAGGGATTCCGAACGAGCCACAAGAAGAATCATACGGGATCCGACGGAATCCACATAATTGCCCAAGAAGTGACATATCTGGTGAATTTCGTGAGGTGTAGAGATTCTGCAGCAAACGTCAGAATGCCAGACCTTTCCTGGTTAGGACTCGTCCAAGTTGGCTGGGATCCGTCCCACATTCTCCGCCTCCCCCTCATCGCTCATCCTACCTCTGATCTTTTCTCCCGTCTCCGTCTTATGTTCCCGTCTCTTGCCGACTCTTTCCTCCGCTCACGCCTCTCTCCTCCTCGCTGGTCTGCTACATCCTCCTCGCTCTTCGCTCCTCCCGTCTGCTCGTCCCACTTTGCAGGGCATGCTCTCGCACATGAGGCTCCCAAGAGGCCCCCACAGGCCCCAAGAGGCCCAAGGAGGCTCCAGATAGGCCTCCAAGAGGCTCCCAGGATGCTCCCAGGAGGCCCCCAGAGTGCCCCAAGTGGCTCCCAAGAGACTTCCTCCTCCTCCTCCTCCTTCTCCTCCTTTGTTTTTTCTCCTCATCTCCTTCTTTTCCTTCCCCCACGTGTTCCCCGAAGGGTTTCCACAACGGCTGGGGGAACGCATGCTTCAGTTGCGTGCCCAAACTTTGCCCAAACGTTTGGCCACATAGGCGTCTTCGATACAGTCCAGCGCAGTGCTCTTGTGCACCACAGCGCTGGTGTACAATCTGATGTTCGCGCAACGACAGCAGCCGTGTGATCCTATACCTCTTCCTCTTTTCCCATCTCCTCCTGCTCCTGCGCCTGCTCTTGCTCCTCCTCCTCCTCAAAATTTCAAGTGATGGCGCTATGAACCATGTTCGGATCCATAGGAAATTCATGGGGGGCCCTTCAACTTCCTATGTAAACTGCATCGTTTCACGCCTGTGGCCGGTTTCCAGACGCTACCGTTACGGAGAGAGGGGGGCCAGGGGGGGGGCGAGTAATACGCGTTGTCCCCAGAGAATCTCCGTTGTGCGCAGGACCAGTTAGGGCACATTCGAATCAACAAGGACGCCTCGAGTGCTCCAACATACGGGGCTCCACAGAGGGCATGCGCCAGTGCGATGTGCTGTTCGTGGCCATGGCTTCACCTACCACAGAAACATCTCTGTGTCACAACCCTGATATCGATACGCTCCACCCAGTGCGTGTGATCTATTCTGGAATATTTCGCTTATCCGCGTGGTCGCCCCCTTTTCGACACAATCACTGTGAGAACCTCTATCTCTCTATCTCTCTGCTCCTCTCTCGCTCTCTCTCCATCCTCGTCCTCCGCTTCCCTCCTCTATATCTCTTCCTCCTCCACCCCCTCCTGTTCCTCTTCCTCTTCCTCTTCCTCCTCCTTCTCTTCCTCCGCCTCCACCTGCCCAACACCCTCACCTTCCTCCGTCCTGAGGGGGATGGATGGATGCTGACGAGGAGGATTCGACGAAAATGCAGGCATGACACTAATGGCAATCATAGTTCTTACTCGGATAGCTTCGTCCATAAATCTTTGCAAACGCATCAGCGGCCTTGCAGCCGCCATCGTTGGCGGGGTAGTGCTCGGAGGATGGAAAGTTGAGACACCGGCGGGAGACTGGGAGGAGGAGGGGGCGGAGGATGGGGGAGAGGAGGATGGCTCACGACTTTGGAAGAGAAGGGGGTATATGGAGGGGTGGAGGAGGAAGAGGAGGAGGAGGAGGAGGAAGAAGACCGCCGATGTCTCGACCTGCCCTTCTCCGAAAAGCGCGAGGAGCTCCCTGGCAACCCCCACCGCCATGTCGCGGGCACCCTGGCCTTGCGACCACGGCCGCTTCACGCCAGGCGAGCACCCCTGACGGGTGCACAGCTCCTTCTCCTCCTCCTCGTCCTCCTTCACCTCCAAAACCCCTCCCTTCTCCTCTTCGACTTCTTCCTCTTCCTCCCCATACACGCCGTCCTCCATTCCTCTTCTCCTTCTTCTCCTCCATTCCATCTCCTGGTTAATAACTCATCCCTGTCGCGCCCCGAGGCCGGTGGAAAGGGCGCTGAGATTTCCTCACCGTTTTCGACGCTGGAACTTAAACATGGGCAACAGCTTCACACATGGAGGGCGGATGGTTTTCAAAATGTGGCTCTCGCCTGAGAGCCGCGCACATTCGGCTTTAAAATTGCCAGAGCTTCATGGATTGAGGGCGGCTGGTTTTCAAAATGTGGCTCTCGCCTGATCGCCGCGATTGTTGGGTCTAAACAAATGAACAAATTTAGCGGATAGAGGGCGGGGGGTTCACGCGCGCATTCGTCTCAATAAGTCACAAGAGCTTCACGGATGGAGGGCGGGCGTTTTTCAAAATCTGGCTGTCGCCTTAGCGCCGCGCGCGTTCGTTGTAAAAACTTGCAAGAGCTTCGCGGATGGAGGGCGGGCCGTTTTCAAAATGTGGTTCTCGCCTTAGCGCCGCGCGCATTCGTTTGCAACACAAATGCCAGAACTTCGTGGATTCAGGGCGGTTCGTTTTCAAACATGTGTCTCTCGCCTTAGCGCCGCGCGCACTCGTTTCAAACATTTGCAAACGTTTCACGGATTCCTTTGATCACCGTACCAGATATGGTGCTTTGGAACGATTCAGGATTGTCATGGCGCAACAGTTACGTTGACTCGCGGTGTTGTAGTCTCAGGAATGGTGTTCTGGCACGATTCAGGGTCGTCACGACGCAACAGTCACGTTGATTCGTGGCGTTGGAGTACCGAGAATGGTGGTTTGGCGCGCCTCAGGGTCTTCAAACGGCTGTCTCCTAAGCGGGCACTTCCATCAGTGGATATGAACAGTTTTATGAGACATGTGAAAAGGGAGCTTGGAGGGAGGGTTTATTCCGACATCGTTGATTTGATTAGTCTTAGGTTTACACTGGTCATACACCTCCTCCTCCTCCTCCTCCTCCTCCTCCTCTTCCTCCTCCTCCTCCTTTCTCGGTTTTCTCGTCCTCCTGGCCATCATCCTCTTCCTGTGATTATCATCCTCATCGTCCTCCCTAATCCTCCCACGCTCACCCTTCTCTGCTTACTGCGCTTCTTCTTCTCTTCCTCCTCCTCCTCCTCCTCCTCCTCCTCGTCCTCCTTCTCCTCCTCCTCTGACTCGTTCCGCGCCTCGGCACGAGATGAACTCAGGCCATGGAGCCGTGGCAATGCCACCGAAAAACAATTATGCCGAAGGGTGGGCAATGGAACGAGGATGAAATGGTGCCGACGGAGGACAGGACAAAGATGGAGAAAGAAAGAGGATGTGGAGGATGGGGGAGGGTGGGGGATGAGAGGTGGAGAAGAATTGGGGCGGAGGGGGAGGAAACGAATTGGAAGAGGTGGAGGAAGAAGAGCAGGAATGGGAAAGAAACGAAGGCCGAACCGCCGATGCGCTGATCAATTCGTTGCCTAAGCCGCTTGCAGCACGTGCTCTGCGCTTGCCACAGTACGGCGATGAAGTAAACATCCAATAATCACAACCTGCACAACCTGAGCGCCTCGCGCTCTTATCACCCAGACAGGATCGCAAAATAGGACATGTTCCTCGACGAAGCGCCAGATGGAGGCAGGCCTGTCTGGCTCGGCCGCACCGACTCCACCAAACCTCCCAAAACGCCTGCGCTCCCCATCAGAAGGAGGAACAGCATGCCATTCATTACCTCTCTGCGCCTCTGTGGCCCAGATGATATTCCTTCTTGTGTTCTTTGCCCTTTGGCTCTCGAAAATAAAGCAAAACAGATCAGCCCTCCAATGGCAGACAATACTAATGCCCAGAACTGCTTCGGGTTGCTGAACTTCTTAATGAAGAAACAATCGATGAGCACTGTGCAGCCCTTGGACATGAGGGAAGCAAAAGCAGTTTGGGTGGACGACAGCTTTTGCACAAGAACAAATTGAAGAGCATTGTACGCGGCTGCGAAAATCCGCCGCTGCGACTGCAGCGCAGCAGCGGTGTACCATGCCAAGCCCCTTGCTTCCCAAACAATGCTCGCAATGGCAGCGCCCTGCTTGTTTTGTTATGTACTGGCCTCGTGCGGTGGCTGTTGGGGCTAGGTGCTCATAATATTCACGACGGCGGCAGAGCCGTTCTTGCGCCTGTGTGGTCGGGTTCCTGGGTAGTTCCCACGTGGTTCCGCCCTCAAGGTCCTGGCCTGTGATGCCCCTGCATGG